CCGAGATTCACTTCCCGCGCCCTCCAGTCGCAGCTGCGGCGTCTGGGAACAGGAACCCGCAGGGTGTGCGCGGTCCGCGGGAGGTGAAGTCGTGCCTGGGACACACGGAGTCCCTTTTTGCCTGCTTGTGACCGGGGCGGCATAGGATGGATCCCGGATCCTCTTTGCTTCCCATCTGACGTCTCAGGAGATCCATGCTATCGTGCTCCGGTATCTGTAGATGCACCGTTCCATCCAGAAACAGGAAATACTGTGCCAAGTGGTGGGCCAGTGCCCCCACTTGGCCCACCAGAATTTTCCTTTACTGCTGGGAGGAAACTAAAGAACGGGATGCTTTTCACAGAACAGCACGGTTTTCTTCTTTTCTCTCTCTTTTTCCAGACTGCTGAATACCATGGTCTCCTCTCATCCATTCAGAGGAGCGACCTTATGCTTCTGACTTCTGAGTTGCTAGAAAGTGAGTGGCTGTGGAGTGCGGGAACCCACCCTAAGGCTGCAAGGACCAGAACCTGGCTCTTATGTTTGCAACTTCGCCAAACCTTGCATGTTTGTAAACACCATCAAATATGGTATAATGTTTACAGCATATGTCTCTCATTGTTAAGAACTATTGTAGAAGTAGACTTACTTCTTAAAATATTTTTTATATTATAGTTATAGCATCCAATTATACAATAGTAATTGTGAATAATTATACCAAACCCCAGTCTGTTTTATGACTACTTCTCATGCTGAGCTCATACACTCCATATAAACACCATCTGTATCAAACATAAAACTCTTAGCTGTTCTAAGAACACAGGCTTACCGAATGCAATTTATTAGTTTGGGGCCAAGCAGTTTCATGGCTATTGCCCAGGTCCCCCAGAACCACATGAATGCAAGCCCACCTCCCCACTTCTTCCTGGGGCTTCATTCTGTTTCTTTGACTTGGAACCAGGTTACCTGTGTGCTGAAGCTCGTGGTGGGAAGCTTGACCTGCGTTCCCAGAATGCTGACAGGCTTCTGCAGAGTTTTTATTTAGCACTGAGTTCGCTTAATTTGCTCTGCAGAGTTCTGTTCATTTCTTCATGCACCGTGGTGAGGTAAGCACCTGACCTTGGCCGAAAGGTGCTTCCCCAGTGTCCCTTTGTAAAATGCTATTGAGGTCTCTGGGTGCCAGGCTGCTCCTCCAGAAACCCTCCCAGGGAGCTTCCCATAAGAAACCCCTCAAACCTAGGGAAAGGTTTGAACCTTGACAAGAAAGGACTTTAAAAAGGTGATTCTGAACTCAGAAGTACTTTTGGCCTAAGAATTTAAACCTTTGGGCCCTCACTGATGGCACAGTAGGTTAAATCACAGCACCACGAAGATTTCCGCAGCAACTGCAACACGAGTTCGATCCCGGGCCAGGAAGCTGAACCACATGGCGCAGCAGACCTCTCCTGTCTCCCCCCTCCTCTCCTCAGCAGTATATTTCAGTAGACCCATCTGTTCTGCTCCCCACTCTGTATCTGGTAAATCCTCTCACCCCCCACATTTCTGGCCTGTACCCTAGTTCTGATATGCATAAATAAAATAAATCTTAACAACAACAACAAAAAAGAATTTAAATCTCTATAGCCAAAGACCAAACATATTCAAGATTCTGATCTTGTCATCTTGTGCAAACTATGAACAAAATCCGTATGTTGTCCCCAGCAGACAAATAAGTTACTCTTTAGCAATAAAGAACCATCAGACACACCCTGAAAACGAGGAAACAAACTCAACCCAAGAAAGATAAATTGTGTTCTTTTTTTTTTCAATACTTATTTATTTTATGCATATAAGAGTACAGGCCGGAGATGCAGGGGGTGAGAGGGTTCACCAGAGATAAAGTGGGGAGCAGAACAGGCGGACCTACTGAAATGCACTGCTGAGGAGAGCAGAGTGGAGACAGCTGGGGTCTGCTGCACCCTGTGGGTCACGCCCTGGCCCAGGATCGAACTCGTGCTGCAGTGGCTGTGGAGAGCTTCATGGTAAGACAACCCCTTGTGCCACCAGGGTGGCTCCAAATCTTGTTCATTCTTAATAGTCACTGCATTTTCCTGGGGAGACCTAGAAGCACGTTCCTGGGTCTCAAGTGATCTAGAACAAATCACGGCCAAGCTAAATTGCAAAATTTAGCATATTTAAATATCAAAATGTTTCCCTGTGAGAAATCCCGGTCTTCTTGCTTAGGAGTTAAACTGTGAAAAGACAATATACTCTTTTTTTTAATAAGTAATACCTATTTTCAAACAGCAATGATGACTTTATTTTCAAAAGGAAATTGGGACATTTCCCCCAGGGACGGAGGCTCTGCATTGGAAAGAACTGGAGTTATACTCACTGTTCATTTGCCAAAAAATTCTGAACATCATTACCAGTTCCATCTAGATATAGCAGGATTGAGATGCAACTTACAAAGATTTTATTATGGAGAAAGTGGTGCCAGGCCTTCCAGGTAACTGTCTGAACACGCGAAGGTGGATGTCTTCATTCGACATCCCAAAAAACACATTCGAGGTCAGAGAGTGTGTAGGTAATTTCCTCAGGCAATTATTTGTCCCCTGGAATTCCGCACGCTCAATTCCAATTACAGAAGAGAGGATTAAGAATGGGCAGAAAGAGTGAGGGTGAACAGCAGGCCTGAATGATTTGGACTAAGATCTTGTATCAAATGTGCAAATTAGCAATTAAGGCAGGTTGAGAATGTGGCATCATTTTCGCTCATTGTGACAAACTGGAAATTCAGGCTCTCTCTGCATGTCAGAGGGAGGACGTGGGACGAGGGACATCATCGGAGGATCTCGTTGGTCATGCAGCCTTGAATGCATGAAAAAAGAAGGAGCCAAAAATGTGAGAGTAAACGAGACTTGGTCTCTGGCTAACACTAAGTCACTCAACTACCTTGCACATGGAAGTCCCCAGCTAGCGGTTCATGGAATCTTCACCCAAGTCTCTGTTCTGGACAAAGATGTGTAGATTACCGTTCACTTCGCTCAGTCTTAGCAAGCGGCTGTTGGCAAGTTGCACTAGTTCTTTGTTCATGTCAAGGCTAAGGTGATGATGAAATCTTATGAACTGGGCACGAAGAGTTAGAGGTTCTCGCCTCTGGATTTCCTGTCACAGTGGCGACCTGCAGTAGAGGACGCCCCACTTAGCAGAAAGGACATGGTCTTGGAAATGGAGGGCTAACTACTGGGGCAGCACCCAGGGAGGGCTCTGTGGCACTACCCCCAGCGAGAGCTGCCCCCAGCTGCCGGGACCCATTTCTGGGTCTCTGCAATAATCCCAAACAGCACACACCTCCCGCTGTCTCCCATCTCAAGCCTTCCTAACACTTCTTTTTCTTTTTTAAACATAGCAGATAACGTATGCTGTGAAGATTTGGGGGCACCTCCAGCCCTAACGCTTGAACCTCACACGTGAAAGCTGTTTGTCTGAATACAACGCCATCACAGAGAAAGCTTGATGAGACTGGAAATGGTCAGGTGGCATCGAGCCCACGGACGACCGAGGCAGGTGGGCCCCACTCTGGTGACTGCTTGAAGCCAGGGGAAAACGGGTTCACTGGTAATGTGATGGATTTCTGTTCTCGACCTGTCTTTGATCGATCCACCCGCCTGCCTACCTACTACCTACCACGTGTCTCTATTCATCCCATCCTATAGACAAATGTAAGACAGACATAAATGTATGTCAAATGTATGTCCTACAAATATCAGAAGACAAATAATAGGAGGCCGAGAGCGAGGACATTTCCACTCCAGTTCTCACTGTGCCTTTTATAAACAAAGAGCTACCGGAACCAGCCACAACTCCCCCTGTGCCTCAGTTTCCTGATTTGTTACCCGAGGTTAACTCCTGCCCTATCTAGAGGTGAACAGAATGAGGTAAGCTACAGAAAACGGCTTTGAAAAGTACAGAGCGCTATACAAATGCCGGGGATAATGAGATGTTTTACAAAAGAGCATTATTCCTTAGCTAAGAAGTGAACATCCACATTCAAGCTTTCTCTGAAGGTTCTTCTTTGAAATTAAATTGAGACCATAACCAACATCCCTCCCAGGGCTGCCTGAGGTTTTACTCGGCAACAAAGCCAAGGCTTCTTTTCATCATTCATAACATTTGAGTTCAAGCACCGAGTGGTTCTTTTTACCAGTGGGGAAAATAGCTTTCTTTTCACAGCAAAAACACAGAAAATGATCTCCCGCTCGATGCGAGTGGAAGGACGAGGCTTATCTTACCATTGCCCCCCAAAATTGCCTTGATTTGGTGTTGTCCATGGGATGTTCTTAGACCGGGAAGAGGAGTGGTACGAGGGAGCACACCGAGCCTATTTGATGGATGCATGTGATCATGAAAAGAGTGAGGTGTATTTTCAAGGGCGACATTGTCCCACCTTTCCGGCTTCTGCAGCCAACCGCATACGCCCTTCTTTATGGTGTCAGAGAAGCTGCTCTTGCCTTCAGCCCCTCCTGGTGGCACCCATCCCTACCAGACACTTCGGTTGCTGCTTGAGCACAGTCCCCAGCTGGGCATCATGACTTTCAACAAACCTGGCCCTAACTTCCTTTCTAGAACTTTCTCCTACTCACCACCTCCAAAGCACAGCACGTGCGGTTTGCTAGTTTCTCAACTGCTAGTTCTGACTGTGGTGGCACTTCGGGCCCTGGGAACAGGACTGCCAGTACTTTGTGCCTGGAGAACAGGGCTGCCCTCTCAGCCTCTGGCAATCCCACCCACCCTTCAAGGCCCGTCTGAAACGCCATTCATTCCAAGCAGCTTCCCCTCACACCCAGAGCCGATTACAATCTCCCCTTCCTAAATGAATTTTAATTTCCAATGATTACAACCCCCCACTCCTGCCCCACCCCCACCCCCATTTGCTTTATGCCTCTTGTTAGCACACTAATTCTGTGTGGCAGGTAACTGCCCCCCCCCCATCATAAAAAAAATACAGGCTCTTGAAGGTAAGGAGGGCTTATTTTTGAACTTTTATTATGGAAAATCTCAAACATACACAAAGTAAACAGAAGGCCTTATTTATTTTTGCATCTCCTTTGGGACCCATCACAGTGTTTTGCATGGAGCAGAAATAAATTTAAGCAATTAGGGCCTTAGGCAAATGGAGCTTTCTGCCCACACATCTCCCTCCATGTGTCCTGCATGGTTAAGTGTTTCCTCGGCAACAAACACACAACCACACACCTGGAGGATCACAGGCAACATGGCTTAAACCAGCTCATCAACTCTAAAGTTCAGGAGAGTGATAATCCCTAAGGTTAGTCCAGGCAGTCAGCGAAGGGGGCTGTACTTGAGGGCCGGCCGGGGCGGAAGAGCAGGCATTATTTTCTAAGAGAATTCTAATCTGATTGTGTATCTGCACGGTCTTCTCTAGTAAGACAGGGTTCTTAGACACACGCGATATCCGAGGGCTGGTTACAGACAAGCGCTCCGTCCACCTGTCAGAATTACGGCTTTTCTTGGTCTCGCATCAACTGACACAAACTCCATTCTGCAATGTCCTCCCCTTCTCAAAACATCAACTCCAGATCCCTAGCTCTACTTGAGTCTCTGTGTGCCCAAATAGCCCGCTTTTTTACACGCGCGCGCACACACACACACACACACACACACATTATTTGGGGGAGCAATGAAATCCTTAAAGCGACCCAGAATTCGAGTGATAGATTACATGCCACGCTGTGTCATATCTAATCAACTCCAATTGAGTGTACACTGCATTACTCTGTGAGTGCATGGAAGATCAATAACTACGGGGAAAACCCACCCCAGCTCCCCACTTTCCCAGCCGACTCTGGGTCTGAGCAGATCATGCTACTGCAATGTGTGTGCTCCAGCCTGGGCAGGCAGGTGGCACATAGACACCATTCAAACTTGGCCTATTCAATCGCAACTCCTCTAACTCGCCATTCATGCATAGCAAAACACCATCTGGTCCTATTTTGCCTCCAGCAATCACAGCTGACCAAAAACGATAATAACAGCTGTTGCAAAACAAAAGCCAAACAAAGAGGATGGGGGGGAAGGCGAGGTTAGACCGAAGTCCAGTGCTGAGAAATGCTCCGTGAAGTGAGAAATGGGAAGGAAACCATTCAGATTTCTAAAGCCGCTGATGGACGCAGCGGAGGACTCTACTTAAACCTGAGATATTAATCCATCTGTCTAGAAAGCCTTCAAACCTCCGTCAGGTGGTAATATATTGCAGAAATTATGCCGCACGAAGGCATTTAAGCTTTTGTTCTCAGAGTCGGGAACTAATGACCCCATGTCAGCTAAAAATGAAAAGTCCTTATGTTCTTTCATCCTAGCACGGCACAGGTTAATGCAAAAAGGAGAACATGTTTAGCCAGCGTAATAAAGTCTTGCGCACACGCAAGGGCAGGGGTGTGTATGACTGAGGTGGGGCGCGGGGGCCTTGTTCATATCCCTGGGCTCCTTTTAAGAAGGGAGCCTAGCCAGGCCTCACATTTCTCATGCCTCTCTTTCGTGATACTGATTGATTTCTGACCAGTAACCAAAATCCACACCAAGGGCTTACTTACATGTCAGCCACAGGAACCAGCCCCATGTAGAAACTGAAATACAAGTTGATTCACGATCTACTGTAGTGAATCCTGAGAAAAATAATTTGGTAACAAGGTGGGGGAATTGTTTCCATGATTCAAGCCTTTTGACATTTTAAACAGAATTTTGCCTGGGGATTCATTTTTTCAGCGGTCGTCATCAAACTTTTTTTTTTTTTCCTCCCTTGAAATTGACCGTCAGTGGCTTAGCAGCATTTAATCAAATGTGATAAAACCCAAGATTTATAAAATCATTTAATAGATGTTACAACACCTGCTTCTAACTGCAAACAGTTGAAAACAGACTTCACCTGCAATTAAGTCTTATCACTAGTGACAATTTTTTCCAAGCAATACTTCATGGGTTTTCAAAATGACAATTACAGAACTAATACACAATTACTGTCACATGTAGTTTAGCAATTAATTTTGAAGACATTTGTCTAAAGGTTTTACAACAGAATATAAAATGGTTCTTATTGTTATGTAATGGCCATTTCAACTCACAGAATACTTTTTTAGCATCCACTCTGCCTCCGATGGATCTGATGCAGACCAAGCACTTCTCTGTGGGAGACAGTTGCCCCTTGTACATACGATTAGGCATCTCGAAGGCCGTTTGAACACTGATACCTGTCAACTAACACATCTGATGAAAAGCTTCAATTTAGACATAAATTTTTCTACAGCAAGAAATCTATAAATTTATAATTAGAATCCCTTGCTGTTCAATATTTGTACATAACACAGACTACGAGAGGATGATGAAATATTGAAAGCTGGAATTCATTATTCATAGCCCACAACATACAATAAATATTCTTTGAGATACAACAACAACTTCGAGGAATCCACACGCCACTGTTTCTGAACGTCTCGCCCACAGCGGCTCCGGACGCCAGGAGGCACACCCTCCATTTTTCCAGATTAGGATTCCGGTCAGGGTTGACACTTGCTGTTTTTGATTTTCATTTTATCATAAGCAGTTTAAGGCTGTTGCCAGTGGTAATTTGCAATTTTTATCAAGACCTCTTCATTAGAGCTTCTGACAGGACAGATGCTGTAATTAATCATGCAAGACAACTGGGGATGGCAACCACCCTGTGCTCAAAGGGGGCCCCGACAGAGCAAGGGGCGGGGGGAGAAGTGGGCCCCGCAATGGTTATTTTGGTGTAAGGGTCAGCGTTCCCCATCCGCTGTGCATGGCGCCGGCCACATCAGACCAGCCGGGTCTAGGCCAGCTGCAGGATGGTGGCTTAGTCCTCGGCACCTACCTCATCCGCGCATCTTCACAGGAAGGGAATTACAAGAAAAGCGTCTCCAAAGGCTTCTCTGGGTCACGCGAGGTGGGTTCTCAGCTCCTACGAGGTATCTCCAGCGATGCCTGGCTCAGACGAAGCTGCGGGCCGAGGCCCGGGCCCCCTCACATGTACGCACGGAACCCAGAGCGAGAGTTGACAGACCATTTTATTTGAAAAGTGAACAGTTTCCTGGTGGTTGCATCAAAATACAGTCCACAGATTTTACTGAAAGGTGTTTATTCTATAGCAAGATAAAAGCATTTTTGTTTTAGTTAAGCAAAATACAAACAACTTAATCGCTGCTATCATAACTCATAAAAAAGTATAAAACAGCATAAAAACACAATAAGCAACGTGGCAATGAGTGGGTTCTGTCACCAGTGTTTACGTTAAAGCCTCATTTATGAAAACTTTACAACACATAGGAAAACTTACAACTTCCAAAGAAAATATTTACATTGATTATTCGGATGTGGTGCGCCTTTTAAATATTCTACTGGTATTACGTCATAATAAAAACTCTTGCTTTTTTTTTTTTTAAATCTTAACTTTTGTAATAACTGTTTTCCTTTAAGTGCATTTCCCCTTGAAAAATACAGTGTTTTTAATTTTCGAAACCTGTCACTCAAAACACAATATAATATTCACATTCTTTTCCCTAATCGGAATGAGGGCCGCGGGCTAACAGTGGCCATCGTGATTGGAACAACAGAGACGTGGCTCGGTTTCCAGACGACATGGGTACAAATGGAGACGCATCAGCAACTGAATCTAATCACTTGCGTTGTGGTTTTGTTTTGTGATTTTTTTTGTTTGTTTTTGTTTTTGTTTTTGTTTTTTTTTTCTGGAGAGATTTAGGAAAAAAAAATAAGAGCTTTGGCAAAAGTCTGAGATTTACATTATTATTTTTTTTCATGACAAAAAAATGCCATCAACGATTCACGTCATACAAGTGTTTGTATGAAACTGGAGCTCCGTGTCTCAGGTAGTTACAACTGTGCTTTTGTATCGTTAGGGCTTCGGAAGGTCAGAGCCTGGGCGGGAGGCGGGGTCACTTCTGGAGCAGTAAGGCCATTTCCCATGGCTCGAGCGGCCAGTCTGCCGTCGTCAGTACGTCCCAGGATTCATCAGACGGCTTGATTCACATATTGTAGGTAGAGCCTGAATAAATAGAAAAGGCATCACATCAAAGAGCACAGCTTTTCCTTGGCGAGAAACAACGGGGTGTTTCGCCAGCCAGAAGGGGCACTCGGCCACCCCGCCGTCGTGACGGCCTGCGTGACAGACACGGGCCGCCGGCTGGCGCTCGTCTCCGCGTGGCCCTCGCCAGCGACGCTCCGGCGGCCGCCGCTGTCCTGGACACGCGCGCCTCAGAAAATACTGACCTGCGCCAAGGCCTGAGTCTGTGTCTGAGGCTGGCTTTGCGACTGGTGCTGAGAGGCGGGCTGGGGGCTGCCGAGGGCCGGGAGCGGGGACGTGATCTGGGAGGCGGCGGGGGAGTGCTGGCGCGGAGAAGGCTGGGACTGGTGCTGCCTGTGCTGCAGCTGCTGCAGCTGGAGGTGCTGCTGGAGCTGCTGCTGCAGCTGCTGCTGGCTGAGCTGCTGCTGCAGCTGCTGCTGCTGCTGCAGGTGCTGCTGCATGTGGTGCTGGAAATGCTGCTGCTGCATCTGCTGCTGGATCTGCTGATGCATCTGGTGCTGCTGGAGCTGCTGCTGCTGCATCTGCTGCTGCTGGAGCTGCTGCTGCTGCTGCTGCTGCTGCAGCTGCTGCAGCTGGTGCTGCTGGGTCTGCACAGAAGGGCTCACTTGGGTGGGGGGCACGGTGCCGACCATGGAGGCGCCCATGGAGCTGATCAGCGGGGCCCCAATGTTCGAGGGCATGTTGGCGGCGATGGTGACCGACGTGACGATCTGGCTCATGGGGAGTCTCATGGGTAAGGGCTTGGGCGCGATGGACCTGGGGAGCGACTGCGGGAGGGTCTGGGCGGAGGCTGACACTGTTCCGTGTTGCGACAACGGAGGGTTGAGGAGGAGGGAGGATGTCAGATTGGTGGACGCCAGGGTCTGCTGGACGGAACGGATGGTCTGGGCTTCTGCGGACTCAGCGGCGGCCTGCGTGCGGGCAGAGAGTTGCAAAGAGCTCAAGCACACGTGTGTGGACGACCGCGAACCATTTTTAAGCCCTGGAGGCTGAGGGCGGGGACGCCCACCACCATTCAGGCAGGCCACCCCGGGGGGCGGGGGGCCCACCGCCACGCCTTGAGCCCCGGCCGGCCTGCTGCCCTTCGTCTGGCCCACGTGACGTGAGCCGAGGTGGGCTCCAGGGCCGTGCGCCCCCCGCCGTCTCAGAGCCTGCCGCTGACAAGTCTGCAGTGACAGACACGGGCCCAGCCGCTCGGGCCACTCGCGAGAGCCAGCCACGGCCACGCGCGCGCCCACACGGGCTGCAGACCCCCGCCGGGCCGCCACACACGCGGGGCCGGCCAGCCACCCGCCCGCTCGGACACAAGCCTCTACCCTGCGAGCCACTGGCTCTGTGGCTGGCTGTTACACGCCGCTGCACCCAAGCTTACCGCCACGCGTACTCTGGTGGGGAGATTCTGCCACACTCGAGTGTGACCTCAGCACAGCCCCCTGGGGACAGAGCAGAATGGGGGAGCAGCCACCTTTGGGCTAGTTCACTCCCTGAATTTGTTCTTATGTTTCCTTACCTATAAAATGAGGTTCAGCACGACTTACCTTGCAGGGAGGCTGTGAGCATTACATGAACTCCTAAGTGTTGAGAAATGTAGCTATTTTTATTAACGCACAGCATCTGCCACCAGACAGTTACCACTTACATCTAACACGACATGCCTGAGTCCCTCAGTGATGCTCCATGGGAGTACTTTATAACTTCCGAAATGTTTTAATTTACTGAAGAGTTGCAGAGTTCTGGAGCTTATCAAAGAGGGCGGAGATAGGCAAGCGTCCAATGACCTGTGAATGGCCAGGAGGTGCACAACACTTCTGGGCTCTGTGTTATGCGTTGTGCTGAAGACACACTTATCTGCACAAAAATATATTATTTTACTGATGCAACATGGCGGGGTGAGCTCCAGAAAGGCGAATATTCCCTCTTTTCTTCACAAAATCCGAGGGTGCTGCTGCATGCTGGAGACAGCCATCCCTTCTCTGTAAGCTTTGGAGAGCTGACTTCCAGATCTGATGAGTCCGCTTTGCAAACCTACTCTGAGCAGGAAAGTGAGTCACTCGAGGTAGAAAAAGCCAAAGCTGATGGCGTCGGGCTGAACACACATCACTCTCCAGAGACACCACCCACTGGTGAGCAGCCGCCTGTCTACGAAACCTCCCAGGGCGCCCTGGTGGCCCAGGGCTTCAGTCTCGGCCCTATCACTGCTGCAGCCTGAGTTCGATCCCCGGCCAGGGAGGGACCCACAGGGCGCAGCAGACTCTCCTGTCTCCCCGCTGCTCCCTCAGCAGCGGATTTCAGTAGATCCGCCTGTTCCGTTCCCCACTCTGTCTCTGCTGAATCTTTTCACCCTCTGCCCCTCTGGCCTGTACCCCAGCTCTTCTATGCAAAAGCCAAAAAATAAACTATGATCATTAAAAATAGCTAAATAAAATTAAAATCTCCATGGGGCTGCCGGTGGCGGGAGGCCACATCCTGAAGTCTCATGTCAAGAGGACCCTGCCATTGTGGATCACCCTACTTTAAAGCCCTGTTGGAACCCTAATGTAGGCAGCACAAGACACGGCAAGGATACATGTATCTGAATCTAATTCTTACAGACCCTGACATTTAAAAATCGCCAGGAAAATCTCAAGTTAGAAACCCCATCTAGGATGTCGCCCTCGATTTAGGATGGTTGTGCTGGGTCCTGCTTGCTGGCCGGGATTGGTCCCTTGTGCTTTAATATTGACCTTATTGCTAGGAAGATTAAACACAGACCTCCCTCATGGTGGTTCGTGTATCTGAGGACTAAGATCAGAGGCCCCTGTTATTGCTTCTTTTTTTTTTTAAGACTTAATTTGTTTATGCTTACAGAACTGGGGTACAGGCCAGAGGTGTGGTGGGTGAGAGGATTCACCAGAGACAGAATGGGGAGCAGGACAGGCAGAGCCACTGAAATACACTGATGAGAGGAGCAGCAGAGAGACAGGAGAGGTCTGCTGCGCCACGTGGGTCACTCCCTGGCTGGGGATCGAACTCATGCTGCAGTGGCTGTGGAGCACTTGAGAATGTGGTGTTTTAACCCACATTCAACTATCTGCAGCTGACTTGGTCTCAGTCCTCCCCTTCCGGGCTGTCACCCCTGGTCACTGCTACTCCTCTGTAAGCTGAGGGTCCAAACAGAACCAACTGGACCTTCCAGTGTAGTCTGATCCAGGGGCGGGGGCGGCCCGGGGCTCCCTGCCCGACGCAAGGGAGAGTGGAGCTGAGCAGGGAGGAGGAGTGGGTGGAGAGAGGACTGGAAGGAGGAAGGGAGCGGCTGGAGACCGGGGGAGGCGCACGGAGCGCAGTCATGGCACGGCGCTGCACTGGCGTCTTGCTCCTGCGCTTGAGGGGTCCACAATGGCGCGTCTGTCCTGATGCTGCCTTTGCTCCTCTGTCCCCGACGTGCCGGGCCTGCTGCCCTTTCCCGACGGTCCCCACAGGAGGGGCCTTACACGAGGGGCAGCTCTCAGGCCAACCCTGTCTGGCTGGCCACTTACCCACGAGGGTCGGGTCACTTAGGGCCCTTGACTTGAAACTTCACTCTCTGTCTTTTCTGTATCGCACACTGATTGTATTCAAGTCCCTCTCCACCGACGGCCGTATGCCCTACAGTAGGTTTTGTCTTGAGCAGTAGATGGCAGAACCTAGTCAGAGAGGCAGGTTTGGGGGCTCTGGGGTGCCCTTCTCCCTGCCCAGTAACACCTTCAGGTGCAGCTTCTTCAGTGACCACCATGTTAGCAGTTACTGGCTCAGGTTGAGATTACTCTAAATTGACATCTATAAACGGCTTGAGCTTCCTGCCAGTTCTCTGAATAGACATTTCAGATGCTCTCACACCCTTCTTAATGAGAAAGCGAACACCCCCAAACTCCAAACACCACTTTAGATTTATTCTCTTCCAACTTCTCCCCGCTGGTATTTCTTGAGCGTTGAATTCCATGCAGAAGTATTTCCGAATCCTGATGCCAGGCTCCAGTGTAAAAACCTTTAAGTCATGCCTTCTTGTCAGTTTCAGAGCTGATAAGCTCTAGTGGCTGCTATTTCCTGAAGGCCTTTTGAGTTACTTCTGAGTTATTAGGCCCTTGGCTGAAATCCATGTTTGGTCAATTATTCATGCTCTAATGCACAAAGATCACCTATACCTCCTTGTGGGTAAATGAATGAAGAAATGATCCACTTAAGAAGTACATGCACATTGTTCCTCTGGCCACCTCACTCCGTCTTATTAGCATCAACTCTACCTCAGTCCTTCACGGCTACAGCGCACCCAGTCAGCTCCCGGCACCTGCACACCGGGTCGCTGCCGATCTCCATGCGTGCCTCCTGGAGTCTCCGAGAAAGAGGTCCTGCTATTAAGCTGATGAGTGGTTTCTCTTTCCAACGAAGGGGGACGCATCCCCGGAGCCATCAACAAAGACAGGAGGACCTCTTTGTCTCTTCTGGGCAAGGACAATGTCGAGCTGAACAACTCAGGTGAAGGAGAGGGAAAAGGGATAAAGGCTTCCAAAGTGGCCTGACCTCAGCCCCAGCCATGCCCAGGCCGGTGTGGGCCCCGAGGCAAGAACCACCTCTGCTTGCCAGAGGAAATGCATCAAGAGCAAAAACATTAGTTCACATTATCCTCCCCGAAGCCTCTCTAAATTCTAGGGAAGCTAAAGACAAAGCCTGTTAAATGGTAAAGTAATACCAGGTAGCAGCTCATGTGCCTTTGGGTCGAGGTAATAATAATGTAGAGTGACATTTGCTTTGGGATACTGGTACATTTTAGAGTACATCGGGGTCCATTGTATACTCTATGTATAATACATATGCATGTCTTTTTAAAAAGTACTTGGAGCATAATTTTACTTTAAATAATCATGAGGTTTATTTATTTATATGATGTGGAACAGTTTGGTCGAAAATGCAACAATTCCTATTACAATAATATAACCGCGGCAGAATTTATGATGGGCTGTTCAGAAGTGCCTGCCAAACCCACCCACCTCCCAGCTTCAAGAGAGGGCATGACGCAGCCCTCTGTCTCTGACCAAAAGAAAGCGTGAGAGGCTATTTAAAATGTGCCTAGACAGCCCTGACACCATAAAGCTCGGCAAGTCTTCTGGAAGTAATTTAGATTCAGCCAGTTAAATTAACTCCTGTTCTTTCACACCATCATTCAAGTCATCTCTATTGGAGAGGAAGGAAGGCTGTGAGTCATTCCAGAGGATGTCTCTGGTCAACCGAAGGGAGCTGCATTGACGGCGTCAGTGCCGCCCTTAGTGTCCGGCCCAGCTTACCTTGGAGACGAGGCTGGCCCTGTAAGCAGCCAAAGCCTTCAGGTACTCCTTTTTGGCGGCCTCCGTTTTCCTTTTATACACCTATTAAAAGACCACAATTAGCACCACCTTTAGCAGCAAGATCTCAGCCATAAAAAAAAGAGTTGCCCAAGTGAGGTCACACAAAATTCACATAGAAAAGTTGGTCTCGCTTGTGACTGTGGCGATGGTGCACGAGTGAGTGGGTGGTGGGAATTTCACGGGGACGACACCCAGGATGATGCAGCACACACGGTATGGAAATGAAGAAGGATGGAAACGGTGTATCAAATAGTAAGAAATTTAAAAAATAGTAATAAAAAAACTGCTCGCCGAGGTTTTGGTTTTTAAACCCAAACACACAGACACACGCAGATATCAAAACAAAACAGAACAAGAGACCTGCCCCCTCACTGGAATACAATTTGATGTTTGCTATTATAAGTGAAAAAAAGACTGCAGGTAACACTTAGATTTCTTGAGCAAAACCACTGAGGGTCTCACATGAAGGCAATAAATAAGGTAGCCAGGAGAGGAATGCTTGCTGCAAATGGTTTAAACTATGGAAGTAATGAGTTTCTCCATCCATGTCTCCTCTCTCTCACGCTTCTAAACGGCAACAAGTCACAAGGATAAGAGACCAGCAACAGGTGGAGGCGTCAGGATGGAGAAGAGAAACCTGCTTCTCTTCCGGAGAAGAGAGTGAGTCGGGAAGAGTAACAGACGAGAGGGACGGTGGTGAGTTTCTGAACTCAACCTGACACAGGAGTGGGCGTTTAGAGCAAATGACCCTTTTCTCCCAAGGTCGGCGTTAGGTGTGGCAGTTTGCCCATTCCGAGGGTCACAACTGTGATCCCTCCAGCGATAAGGGACAAGGGTTACTCTCTGCAGACAAGGCAAACGCCATGGCTACACCACACAGGGTCTCCAGCCAGCAGAGATGATGTCACCATCAGCACAGGTCACCCCAAGCTTAACTGGCCCATGGGAATGAGCTCAAGATCTGGAAGGATCAATCCAGGGTTTCCCAGGCTTTATTCCTGAAACAATTACTCCGTTACTCAAGGGGGTCTTGTCTGCCAAGGACCTGCTCAGCTAACTCCTCTCAATGCCACTGGGGTTCCGTGCAGGAACTAGGGTGTGTGCAGGGACCGGCCTGCTGGGAAGTCATTCTCCTCTCCACTTCTGTGGAGGATGATGGAGATGGTCAGGAGTCCAGGCCTTAGAAAGTATCTCCTAGCTGCCCACTCATCCCTCAATACCTGTCACGCTGCTGCAATGAATTCAAATGAACTTGGGACATAATTTCAAATGCCTGGTGACAATAATGAGACATGCAGAGGCAGCTTCAAAGTTGGAAGCCCACCGGGACGCACAAGGGTTTGGAAAAATGATCAAGTGAAAGGCAAGCAGGGTGGACCTAACCTCCCAGACAAGTGAGGGAGGGGGTTTTACACTATTTAAAATGATTTAAAATGAAAAGATTATCATCAGAAGTTATGCTTGCAGAACACTGCCTGGACTTCCTCCAGCTTCCCTCGAATGGGGGCTGAGAAATCCAGGTAACGGGGGGATGACTGGATTGCACCTGTTCGTGGTTTTCCATTCCAGAGCTGAGAGACCTCCACGAGAAGGCCGCTCCGCTTCACAGAGGTGGAAGGACACTGGACGCTCACCAGGCCAGAAGGGGGCTTTGCCTCACCTGCTTCTGCTCTTCTCCAAGGCTGTCCCACATGGACGCGACGATTTTTGAGACCTCTCCAAAGGTTGCGTTGGGGTTTTGACCTTTGATTGCAGCCTGAGTGTCTCTGAAAAACAGGGCATATGCTGACACCGGCTTCTGGGGCTCATTGGGGTCTTTCTTTTTCTTTTTCTTTGGAGTCTTGGGCTTCTTGCCAGAATCTGGAGCAGCTCTTTTCTCTCCAATGGCCTGCAAAGCAGGAAGAAAATTCACTGCCTAGAACGTACTTGCAAAGAATGCAGCGAGACTCAGTCAGGTCCACAATTGTTCTTTGAAGGTTTTGTTAGCACCGTCAACAGATGAATCACCACCAAAAGCGAGGGAGGGGTAAATTGGCTTCAAGTTAACTGGGCAGCAGAGATTAGCATTTAGAACACTGATTAATGAGACCCAGAAGCATCTTCAATACATTCACAACATATGCTCTAAATAGCAATTATGAGTAATGGAAAACAGAACACTCTGTACCCGGAGCTGCTATATATAAATATACATGTCTATATATGCTGTGCTTCACATGCACACGTAAACAAAACAGCTCGCATTTTCAGAGGTTTTCGAAGTAAACCTAAGGAATATCCAGGACGCTGATCATATCCAGGTATTCTGAATGAAGCCCCTTGCCCTAGTCACACACCAGAGGCCGATGGGTCCGAATTGTTTTTCAAGTCGCATTTTCAGTTTATAGAATGTTACTTTGCTAATGGGTCTCCAGGAACTCCAAAGGAAGTTAGTTACAACCCTTAGCTTGCACCACAGGGGTAACTCATCTTTATTCTCCAAAATAATAACTTTCTGAAGACTGCATTTTACAAGAAATGTAAAAAAATAAAAACTTTTACTGCAGAGAGAAGAGAAACTGATCCTCTTCATAAAACTAAAACCCTGTAAGAGCAACAGCAGATACTTAAAATCACCTAGTAGATATTTAACATCTATTAAAATAGAAATTGTGGATTGCATATGGTGAGCATAGCGAAAAGACAACTACAGAGATTCCTTTACCATATGCACTTGTGAGATCAAAGCCACAGAAATGCTATGGGGTTAGCCCTCAAAGGTACGCCCCAGAGCCCAATATTCACCTTCTCCCATCAACTAATTCCAATGATCCCTAATACGCTTTCAGAGAAGCCGGGGAAATGATTTATCGACCTGGCTCTGTCCCCAAGAATTTGACATGACTATATATGGAAGATCATTCTACTGTTAAGGGAGGATGCTGGAGTGTTTGGCAAAATCTGTTTCAAAAGCCAGCCCTGGGCAAGATCAACAGAGATAAGTTCAAGTTACTAACAGATTGTCTTTTAATGGCCTTGAGCCTCGAGTCCTAATTCAGATTTTCCAAGAGTATCATTACTTTCGGAATGAGGGCCATTTGGAACTTAATCCAATTACTAAAGTTCGTAGGAAGGAAACTGGTAAGTAACTTGTCTTTATTAGGTAACCCTAGTCTCCTGCCGGATGGGCTGTTATTCGTGCTGTTTGAGTGACAACCTCCATCCCCATTTTACAAAGTAGTTTACATACTCCAAACCACGTGACACCATGTCACCCCCACCCATGCCACAGTCATAATTCCCACATTTCCCCTCTGTTCCCTGAATAGCTGGAACTTGTTTAATTCCTGTTAATGACTCTAAGTTGCCAGGGAGTGAGCTGTCTTTCAGTTGGAGCTCCAATTTGAGCCAAGTTTTCCTTCAATGAAAAAAATATTACTTTGGCAACAAGAAAAAATATATTACACATATTTTTTTGATTGAGTCAAACAACTCTATCCTGATCTGGAAGAAAACTTAGCAGCGTCGGAGCTGAGTGCCCTGGCCGATGGCAGGTGCAGGTCGTTTTCAGGGCAGCATTGACTCCACTCGGACTGGAGTTCAATTTCATCCTCTACAAAACAATATTCAGATGTTGACAACCTTTGATGTCTTTCTTGGAAAAACATGACTGGCCCTAATCACCATTCTCTTTTAAGAATACATCCTAAGTAAAGAACCTCACAGTTTAAATAAAACTTCGGAACGAATTCTCCTAAAGGTATTTTGTGTCCTTGACTCGAAGGGCTGGGGAAGGCAAGGGAGAGCTTTCCCCGCAGGAGACATAATCAAAGACAACGTTAATCTTCCTTTCTCTGCTAAGTTGCATGAAAGATAACAAGCTGGACCGCTTGTCCTTACACAAAACGGAGGCCTCTGCTAGGATGGGGTGAGGCGGGAGTCACATCCTATTTAGACAGGCAGGAGTCCCCAGGCCCCCTTATCTGTGGTTTCATGTTCTGCGGTTTCACTTGCCCGTGATCAATCCTGGTCTAAAAATATTACATTCAGTGAGGTACAGAGACGGCGCCAGGGAGGGAGGGAGACCACCGTCATTTTATTATAGCATGTTATTATAATTACGCCATTTTATTATTATTAGCAATTATTGTTACTCCCTTCCTGTGTCCAATTTATAAAGTCAAAGTCTATCACTGGCAAAGTCCATCACTGGATGCCAGGGAGAAATGCACAGCACCCCAGGGCCCAGCTCGGTCGGCAGTTTCAGGTGCCCCCTGGGGATAAATGAAGTGAAGGGAACCGCAGAACTGGGGAGCAGCGGCTGGAGTTGAGCTGTGTCTGACACACCTGCCCAGAGGTTCTTCCGCAGCGGCTCCCCTTCCCCTCGCTCCAGCCTCTGCGTGGGGCTGTGACTGTCCGGGCACACCCCAGTGCTCCATCTACTGGGCAGCCAACTCGGTGAGCACCAACCCTCCCTGAAGCCCCCCCAGGGGCTCGCTCCCATCTATCACTTTCCACCTTCTCTAGCTCCTCTTCTTCTGCCAGAAACTCAGAAAAGATCGATGTTGGCCTTGACTTGCTGTGAACTCTGAACGTTCCTGATTATTCGCAAGTCTTCATGTCCATGCATTAAAGGTCCCCAGTCTACACTGCCAGCTCCAATGAACAGAGCTTTAGTTCCCCAAATGAGCACCTCAATTTCATGCCTAGAGCAGGCCAAACTCTCTTCTGTGCCAGGGGAAAAGTCACTCCTCGCTTGCTGGGTCCTCTCGTCTGGCACCCACAGTGGCCTGCCAACACACATCCCAGTGCAGCCTTCACCCCACCTAGGTTCCACAGATAACACACCTTGTGACTGTCTTGTAAAGGCCTCACGAGGCCTTACTTCCCGGCCAGTCCTTCCTCTGCTAATGTCAAACATTTCTTAACCAAAGGATCTTTATGTTGATTTCTTTCTCTCAGATCCCTCCCTTGGTAACACATTCTCCAGGTGGCCAAAGTGACTTGTCTTAAAGCACAAACCTGCCTCTGCCATCCCTCTGTGACTAACTTATCCATTTCCACAGCAGAGTCGACTACATACCTCAGCCATTTCCTCCTTCCCTCCTACTTCTCTCCTGCCCCATGTCAACCCTTCATGAGAGCTGTAAGTTGAGAAGTGTCTCCATTACTCTTTACTGTTTGCTCCACCAACATGGCCGCCTCTCTCTTCTGCCTCACAAACTTTTATGGACCCTTGTAGACCTAATTCAGCCATCACCATCTCAATAAAGTCATCCTCAAATCACTCTCCCAAGCAGAATTGATTAGAATCTGAGCACACCAGCTCCACCAGTTAGGCCAGGAATCACAGCTAGTGCTGGTCTGAAACAATATTCACCCCAGTGGGAAGTCCCGGGGGCAACGATTATATTCCAAATCACTGGAATCAAGAGCACTAGGCACACAGTAGGTGCAGACTGTGCACACTAGAGTGAAGCATTAGTAATGTGTACATAGAGCAAGTCACGCCAGTGAATCAATACTTTTCTAGGGACATCAACAGCAAACAAATATATTTGGTTATGGACCATATTCTGTGAAAAAAATCAAAGCGGGGACAGAGACGATGACCTACTAAGTGCTAAACACCACCCACTTAAGGTGCAAGATTGCCACACATGGGAGTACTTCAGCCAGCCGACCCGATGGAGCTGATCCACGTGGACAGTTCCTGAGACAAGAGCAGTGCAGAGTTTCTGGAAAGCCCAGAGCAAGTCCTGCCCTTCCAGAACAGGCCAATCAGGCCTCTGGAGAGCTAAATGAGCCGCTTAGCATCCTGCTGCCAGAAGGTGTCATAGCCCCCAATTTCCAGTTGAACACAACTTCCACAGAAAATAAGTCAAAGACAAGACAAAAAGAAAAAGAAAGAAAGAAAAAGAAACTGCATTTAAGCGCTACTCCCCCATGCAGCAAGCACCCCAGGCACGGAATGGCAAGCATGCCTGGTCCTCGCCTTTGGGGCAGGGGCCGCTCAGGCGCTCAACTTACTCTGCTGGACTCATCCACGTCCTCCTCATTGATGGAGCTGGAAGGGGAGGGAGTCGCCGACTTGCTCGCTGGAGGAGAAGGAGAGGTGTGGGGCAGGCTGGCGCCGCCCAAGTTCAAGCCCAGCTGCGCACTGAGCTGCGACTGGTTGATGGTGGTGAGCTGGGCCGGCGGCATGGCCCCAGAGCGGGCGGCGTCCGTCATGTGCACGATGGACCGCATGATCAGGGAGGGGTCCTGGCGGTACTGGGACACTTGCGTGTGGTTCTGCTCCTGCAAAAGGCGACAGGAGGGGACGGCCCGTCAGTTCTTCCAGTCGGGATCAAACCTTCCGTGCCGTGGAACCCGCGGCACCTCCGCCCAGTGGCTAGTGCCACGAGGGTACCGTTCATTTATTCAGTGGAGGACGCTCGTGCAAGACTTGAAAGGGCTAAAAAGCACAGGTGCCCATCATTGCCAGCACACTCCTGTCCCCCATCCCCACCACCCGTGACTTTTTGGTAAAAGACGAATATCAAGGAGTGGAAACCCCCAACGCTGGCGCTTCTCGGAAATAGCCAAGAAGGGGCGTAGGCAGACACCTGACCCCCGCGAGCACCCCTGTGCCGCCCCCACCTTTCCCTGCTCCGAGTCAGAGAGATGGGGTTCGGGGTTGGGTGCCGTCACCCTGCCAGGCAGAGAGGAGGGGTTGAAGCAGGGATGAGCCTCTGCCGCCCCCGAAAACCCTTCTCGAGCCCTCTGTGGTTAACCAGGTCACTCCAACCCCGAATGACACCGTCAAAAGCATCTATCTGGAAGTCGTTCAATGGCTTCTGGATCCGGTATCACTTTTTCATCTTAAACCTGCTTTCTTCTGTTCAACCTCCCATGACTTAACGTTCTAATGGGCTTTTAGAAATATGTATGAGGCGGAGGGCGGGTCACCAGAATTCGCCTTCTCTGAACGTGACTGCAGCCTCTGCCGACATGTCCTCTCTGGCTTTGTCAGTCCTCTGAAAGGTTCTAGAGTGTTACTTCTCCTTTTTAATTCCAAAGACTCAACAATGAAGACAAGTGCTTTTAAATGACTTACTTTGAGACTTGTCATTTAGAGCGAGTCTGTGATTTTATTGAAACCAAATTCTCTTGACTCACAGTGACCCAGAATCTAATTTTATACACAAGCCGATGAATCCTTGAGTCTTTCTGATAAGCTTTACTTTTGCTCTTTAAAGAAACAAAGTGCAAATAACTAAATTGGAACATTTGGTTTCATAATATTAAATACATAAATGACGCCAAATAAAAAGCCCTAGCTGTGAGTCGGAAACTGGTTGAATAAATTATGGTCTTCACATACTACAAAGTATTAGGAAGCATTTTAAAATAATGAATTAGATTTATGTGTACTGACCTAGAGCATGGCCTATTAATCTTGGTCCTATTGACATTTTGGATCAAATAATTCTTTGTTGTGGGGGTTATCCTGTGTATTGTTGGACATTCAGCAGCATCTCTGCTCTCTACCAACTAAATGCCAGTAGCAACCTCCCTCTCCCCACCAGTCATGACAATCAAGTCTCTAGATTTTGTCCAGGGGGGTAAAATTGATCAGAGTTGGGAACCACTGACCAAGAATAACATACCAGATCAAATAAGTGAAAAAATAGTTGCAAAACAGTTACAGAATACAGCCTCGTTTTGTTTATTAAATGAAAAAAAAAATATTACCCAACTCAAAACAATGGTTACATTATAAGAGATAGGACTAGAAGAGTAAGGAGGGGAGCATCTTGACCTTTCCATTTATAAAAACTAAAATACTTTAATCAGGAAAAATGTCAAAGAAGCAATACAAACTGTTAAAACAGTCTGTAGCTAATTGCAGGGACTTATTTAATATTAACTATATAAAATTTCCATTTCTTAATAACTCCTGAGTCATAAAATTGCCATGGAATCCTGGAGAAATGTATCACACTAATCAGAACACTCCAATTCTTCCTTGTCTCACTGACAATATTCTCTTCACTGTTCCTAAAATATTACCTTCTGTTGGTGGCCATATTTCTGCAGACTTGTAGCACCAAAGTGGATTTTTTGTAATCATTTTGTCCTAATATTTTTTATTAGAACTCAAGCACACTTTTGGACATTTCTCCTTAAAAATCTCAGCAGTCTGTCCACTTGTCCATATTCTTGGGAACTTCAACCACTGCTTGCCTACATCCCTTCCACCTCCCCAGTTTCTGGCAATGAAGCTATCTTTATTTTTAATTCTACTCTCTCTGCATGTCCTCCTTCTAGAGAGCAGTTCTTTTAGACTTAGTTAAATCTAGATATTTTCAAGTATCTACAAGCAACTTCCAGTGTACGTTTAGATTGAGAAGTCTAATTCAGGCTGAATAATGATAAATTAGTTAACTGCCACAGCCATGCAGTATGCTGATCGGGTTTAATGCACTTTCTCGTTGAGGAGGAGTGCCTCTGGGCTCTGGCCTGCGGTGCCTCTGGAGATCAGTGTACACAGTGTGATCGAACAGCCACGGCCACAGCACTTCAGCTGCGGTCTTATTGCTACTTGGTAGAAGAACTGCCAGAGAGTTTTCTCTCTCTCTTACACCTCCCCATCCCCAGTGTATGCTGAAGTGTATTCTACAATTTTTGCCTAATGGACCTGGTTGCTTGAAAGCGCTTCTTGACCAACAGTGAAGCTCTCTGTACTCAAAAGGAACATTTACAATATGTTTACTGTGTGCCAGGATTTGTGCATTTTCCAGTTCGGTCCTCTAACTATCTTTCTGAGTTGGACACCATGATGCTCCTTCTCAGGCCAGGGGGCTGGCTTGTGACTGCAGGCCAGGGGCTGGCTCTTGACTGCCTGATGTAGAAACTGGCATCCCAGCACAGGGGTGGCCTGGCAGGAGGAACTGGAACTGACAAGGAGGCTTTGCTCTCTGCCCATCACCCTCTTTTAATGAAGGCCACTCCATTTGTTTTATAAATTGAGGTTTTCGTTAACAGTTCACTCAAAAGGGTGGTTCTTTTATAGTGAGTGTGTTTAGTTAGGGGACGAATCCAAAGAACGCCGCGGGTGGAGGGGAGGGTGTGACCAACACTCACAGCCAGCCACAAAGTTTCCATATCCAAAAAAGGAAAGGGGAAAGGTCACCTTCCTATCTCCCACAGACAATACACCGAGGACCTCTAAAGTAGATTCAAGTAACCTCTGAACCATTTAATCGATGCATCAAAATGTGCTAGTGCTTTCCATGGTCCACAGTTACCGATAATAACTTCCCACGAGTTAGGATTACAGTATAATAAGATTAATGGTAAAAGTGTCTCTTTAGAGATTCAAGTTCCGTTCGGGCCACCAATTATGAACAACTGCCTTGAGGAACTGCGAAGTCCTGAACAGCACCAACCATTTTCCATAAAAGAGTAACCTTTAAAGACATTTCCTTTGATTGCGATTCCTTTTTAAAAAGAGAAAGTGGCCATTCATTTAGCAGTATTTACTGAGAGCCTCTAAGCTCCAGGCCAGAGAAGCCAACAGACCAGCATCTGTATCTTTCAAAGGAGCATGGCTATGGGATCCTCTCAAATACCAGTCTAGTCAAATGTGCTAGAATGACTAATGCATGATGACAGAAGGTAGGCAAGACTAACTCATATGTACCTCTTGAAAATAGCAGTGGCGATGACACTAGGAACGGCTGAATGTGGAGGTGACCCTTCAAGGCTCGTATCAGAGACTCACTTTGGATTAGTGAGAGGTGGGGGCTTATCGAAATGCACGCGCTCTTGTAGGGCTTCCTCCACATTCATTCTACCGGGAGGAGGGGGGATTGGGGCGGAAGAGCACATAGGACTATGGTGATGCTCTCGGGTGAAGTGGTGGTGGGCAGTCCATGGTGATGACAACTGAGAGGAAAAAATGTACAAAATACAGAAAGATATATATACTTACTTTAAAAAGTAAGTCTTTGGGCCAGTGCCCAATGAGAGGTAGAGTGACCAGGGGACAGAGACATAGACAGTCAGGAGCCCATCCAAATGCTGGGAGCTCTTAAGTCCTTTTACTCTTATTTTTAACTATTTACATCATTTCCTGACTTGTTCCTCATTGGGGAAAAACTCACTCTCTGCACTGGGTCTCACTCTGTCCCTGATGGCATTAGCTTTCTCAGCCTCATCAGGAAAGAGATTCTGCTCTGCATTGGGGGGGAGGGCACCCTGAGTTACCAGTAAGGGCATCATAGTATCTCTGGTCTTGACCAACTAGATACCAGTAGCCTCCCCCCAAACCCCGAACCCCCTCCAAAAAAAAAAACCTCACCCCTAGTTGGGACTGCCAAAATGTCTCTGACAGTGGCAAGCGATAAAATCCCCCTTGTTCGAGAACTGTGTCACTTACATAAGTATCATTTAGGAAAACCATCTTCTGTGGGTAAAACAGCTCAAGTATCTTTTCTGCACATAACAGAAAACGTGCATGAACAAGTGTCAGTCTGTGAGAACAGATCGTGACAAGGTGAAGAGAAGAAATAGGTTGTATAAACCACCAAGAAGTTACCCCTCGGAGGATGGCTACACTTGATTAGGTTGGTAGGAAAATCTCTAAGAAGAGCAGTCAATCCGCAAGTGAGGGGAAGTATGTTCCAGGCAAAGGGAACAGCATCTACAAAGTCTGAGAGGAGCGAGCTTGGCATGGCTGGGTGAAGGCAAGCTGATGAGAGAAATCCAGCAGGGTGGGAAGGACGGGCAGGGGTCAGATCACGGATGGAGGAGGAAGCAAGGTGAGGAGGTGACCCGTGAGCTGAGATGCAGGGTGAGTAAAGTCCACTAAGCCAGAAAAGAGCAAAAAGCATCCCAGGCAGGGAAGAGCATGCACGAAGCCTGGGGCCTTGCGGAAGCACTTCACAGACGAGTCAGGAAAGGCCAGGGTTGCTGCAGCAGGACAAGCATAGCGGCAAGACGCTGCAGGGAAGTCGGGCATGGCCACACAGTGGCAGCTTAGTCTACCTGAGGAAGAGATAAGGAGGCCACCCTGGAAGGCTCGGTGCCCTCCTCTTAGGTTATTCAGCCCAATCAACGTATCTTATACTTCCTGGGCAAGGATCTAGTTCAACGGTGGGTGGCCGGGTTTCATTTAAATACACTGGTAGCTACAGCTATAAATACCTAGCTGAGGGCCTTCCTGGCGGCCTAGGGGTTAAGCCTCGGCGCTATGACGCTGTGGCTGCTGTGGCCCAAGTTCCGTCCCCATCCAGGGAGGGACCCACAGGGCA